AAAACAATGAATTTCAAAACCTAAAAGTCATACGATATCACTCAAATAATTTGGGATACAATATTGAATTTCTCTAATTTCCAATTCTGATTTGCATGCATTTCATTGACCTAAAAGGGATTGGAAATTATTTCTATTCATTTGGAAAACCAAAAAAATATAATGTAACGCAGAGGATTCTTCACCCCACAGTTTCCTTGTTAAATACGTGTTCCCAATTGTCTATAAATGGATGTGGCTACTTCTAATAATAAAGGGTTTTTTTTTTGGGGGCTAAACCCTAATAGTGTTGCAGTCCTATTGAATTAGAAATATAATTGTGTAAATCCTAATGAATTTAGGAATATCTCTTATATTCTTATTAGAAATTGATTACCTATTAAGATTTATAATCCTAAAAGGGTAAGGATTTTACCTATCCTACTACTATAAATAAAGGTACAATGGGGTGAAATAATACACAACTCACAATTACACATCTCTCTCTTTCTCTCTACTATTGCCGCACCCCTCTCTCTAAGGCCTCCATAATTGTTCAGTAAATTATGCCTACAACACGTTATTAACATGCTTTTGACGCTGCGTTAAAGAGAGTTTGATCTTCAAATAAGGGAGTATTACGTTTTAATCATTTTTTTTATGATTAAATTATTATTTTGAATTGATCTATATGATATTGATTCAATTTAATTTTGATGTGTTGAACGTGATACAACGCATTGGAGATGCAATTCCGGCTTTCTGAGAAAGATCTTCTACAAATTCAAAGGCTTTTGTAGTTTTCTGCCAATCAGGTACGCTTCAAATAAAGTAAGATATCTGAAATGACCATGAAGCATGAAAACAACCCCATGATGCATGAATCCCTTACATTTATATTTTCTTTTCGATATATATATATATTGTATATATTTCATATATTTGTCAATATATATATATATACACACACACACACGTTCATGCATTACGTAGTTTTTACTATGTAGAATATGTGAATCAAAAAATCGAAATAAATTAGAAAATTTAAAAAAAAAAAAAAAGGGAACTAACCGTGCCGACCTGCATGGGCTTTGTTGCATGTGTAAACCAGGCCCCAGGCCTAGGTTTGACTTACTGGGCCTCCTACCCTTCCAAACACATAGAGCCGACACCCTTTTCGCTGGGCTTTCTCACGATCCAGCTCGCGCCAGACTAAGCCAGCTTGTGCTGGGCTTGTCCTGCGAACTCTGTCCAACCAATCCGGCCTGGGTTTCTTCTCTCCTTTGCTGTTGGGCTGTTCCTCTCGGTCCGTGACTGCAGCAAGCCTGCAAGCTTGTTTTTTGCAGATTGTTGGGCTGCCTGCAGCAGCCTTACACGAGCCCAGCCCGCAGCTTGCAGAGCCTTACCTAAAGCAGCAGCCAACAATTTCAATGATGGGCTGCCCTTGTTTCTCGGCCCAAAGCCATTTTTTGGGCTTTTTTTTTTCAACCCGCACCCATAAATTTTTTAATTTTTGGTGCCAGATTTCACAGCGTTAACCAATTTTAAGATGTTTCTTTTGTAGGGCCTGCAACCATCTAGCCCACAAATATGGCCTGAAACCTTATATTATTTTGCTTCTACGATCAACCCTGTATGGTCCCGATCTATTGAATTAATTAAAATTGACTAATAGTCCATTAATCTGATAAGAAATCCAAAATTATTGACATAAATATCACTTTTTGGACATTAACAATTCAATATTTTAATTCTCTTCTTTGAACCGTTGACATACACTTGAGTTCCTAAAGCAACTCAAATCCACTACACTTAAATTAGCGTATTGCATTCTGTGTTCTTGCAGAAACCTCTCTTTTATGAACTAAACGTTCATAAACTATATTGAACCTGTAATTTCAAATTTAGTGCCTTTGAAACCCGTAGTTTTCATAAAACAAATACACCCATGAAAAGCATACATTTTTCATGAAAACCATGTCCTAGAACTCGAATATTCTAACTTTGATGCTTATGGATGATTCATTCCCATGGCATCAATCACAATCTTATTCCCTCAAATTCAATGGATTGTTGAACCGTCACAAGTTTGATTTTCGCTGATTTGGATGTTTCTAATATAAACCACTTTATGTGGGGTACAAGATGTGAATCCGCATTTGATTATCAAGAAACTGAGAAACCATTAAAGCCAACAATGGCATGGAAGAGCTGAATAAGCCTTCGCCTGATCTTCATTCGAAGACTTATGCCCGAAGCATTACAAACGGAAGTACCTCCCGAATGAGGATTCCATGGCTCTTTGGCTCACTCCTATGGATTGTCTAATCATGAAAGACATTGCTTGAAGCACACCATGATTACATCCATGAATGAGTACAATTTTGAAGTTTATAAATCCGATCGAATTTCGACTGGAGAATACTTTTTCTCGTCATTTCTTGTTTCTAACTCGCTCCTGAAGCAACAAGTGTAGAAAGCGAAAGTTTACCAAATTCTCAGATCTAATTACTACCACAAACATAAGAGAAAGATATAAACCTAGCTTCGGCAAGAGTCTACCGAACGGTATAGACCCAGTTTGGCTTGAGTCTACCGAATGGCTTAACCTAGTTCGGTCAAAGCCCACCGAATGGTGGTGCCCTACTTCGGCAGGGATGCACTGAACAATATTGCTCTACTTCGATAGAGGCCTACCAAACAAATCCCTCCATCTTTGGCTGAAGCCTACCGAACCCAAGTCTGGGTCTGTTTCTCTCATAATCAAATTTCGAGTTTGTTTTTACAACCTATGGTAAAATCAGGGCATGCCAATGTGTGGTATCATGCCCGAAGCACCTAAGACCTAAAACTTCAAGAATAAGTGATAATATTTCCAAACCTTAACCCTGCAGAATATACTTCCATCTCAATGGAATAGATCATTGGTTATGCACCTCTTCGTGCCATCTACCAATGTCGTTGAGGAGTACCATTCTCGTAGCCAATATGTGAGACTAATTTTGCTCCACCAAACATTGTTGGAAGAGCAAAAATTTGACTTGGATGGCCTTGTTGGCCGAATTCCCTTAGTAAACTCTATCCGTTCCAGAATCGTTGAGTTTTCTTAAGGATATTCGAGATGACAATGATCATGAATGAAACCACTAAAGAAAATAGAGTGAAATGTCTTTGCATTACCTGAAAAAATGAGCCTGAAGCTTTGATTTGGGGCCAATAGGTTGTCTCCCACCTGGGGACACACCACATGTGGTTGGCCTAGAGCCTGGTGATTGAGCAGTGTACTTCCTTTCGCACGACTATTTAGGAAACTTAGGTCAAACAATGATGCTACAACGTATCTCATTACTCGAAATAAGGATCTTGTGCCTACAAGCACACTTTGCCAAGCCTACTTATTAGGGAAATTGATTTTCTATATCATTCCTCGCAAAGATATGAAATCACCCTTTTTCATAGTGGATTCAAGGGAATATATGTGGACTAATCCAACCAAAATGCGAACCATATAAATACTTAGGGTTTTGGTTGATGAATCCTGAGTCTATGGGTTTTTCTCCCACCTTGGGTTTTACCATAGTGAGGTTTTGTGAGTTTTAACTTTTATGCATTTTTCCGTTGATCTGAAACTCACATTTGCTCATTGTGCTGACAACTTCATCAACTGTACTTACTTCATCACTGAAGACCTGATGCGCCATTTAGTTGAGTATTTACACACTCAAGGAGGAGAGTTGCAGTCCTATTGGATTAGCAATGTGATTGTGTAAATCCTAGTGAATATAGGAATATCTCTTATATTCTTATTAGGAATTGATTACCTATTAAGAGTTGTAATCCGAAAAGGTTAAGGATTTTACTTATCCTGCTACTATAAATAAAGGCACAATGAGGTGGAATAACACACACCTCACAATTACACATCTCTCTCTTTCACTCTACTATTGGCGCACCCCTCTTTCTAAGGCCTCCATAATTGTTCAGTAAATTGTGCCTATTGCTCCGGCGTTAGCCTGGTGGATAAGCCGTGGATGGCACTTATTGGACACGAATTCTAGAGCGCGAGCCACAACAATATACTCCTGAACCCATCGTTGTAAATATTTGGCTCCGCTAGTGATTTTCACCACAAAATTTGAAGATAGCATAAATGGGACTTCACAGATACAAAGATGTAGACACATGTAATGTAACAATATTGTTCAAACTTTAAGCTCAAAACTCAAAATAAGGTAAGATTGTAGCACAAAGTCACTGCCATGCACCTTCCAATCCTGCCTTAAATAACTCAACCCGATCGAGGACATCTTTTCCTACCAAAAGTTGAATCCACTATCCATCTTTGGCAACTTTTACTACCTTTCCTCCAACAAAATACCACAAAATTAAGCAAAGAATATATGCTTTAACATTAGTGCATTAGTGAACGAGATTTGATTGGATTCTAATTAATTTACATCACTAAAATACTGTCTTGATTGGAACCCAAAAATATGAACTTTGGACCTACAATGACTGCTTGCGATACCCACTCATGGTCCAACCTATGGTATAACATGTCACAAACTTTAGCCTACTACTTCACTTTTATAAGCATTACTCTCTCAACCACCCGGGCCGTTTTAGTCGGTACCACATCGATGTTTCTTTGTTTCGAGCCTTAGCCTCGGTAACGGACCGGCCAGCAAACAATTAAATATTTGCACCATAGTCTTTTTCACCTTTTATTTTAACAAAATACCCCCTCCGGCCTTTTAATTTTACAACACAAAGCACGTCCCTCCACCCTTGCTTTTATGGATGAGGATTCTCTACGAATTCTTTTTGTGAGAATTTTAAGAATTCTCATATTTTATACTTTCATTGTATATTATATGATTAGATTTTGTTAGTTAATATTTATATTTAATTTTTAATAAAATGCGGATGAGATCCGAAACCCGCTTTATTAGGAGACGCCACCTCTTCAAAAGCTCAACTGTTATGTTCCCACATTGGCATTCGTGTCCCACTCAATCCCCTCCGTGATTTCTCTGTCGCTCTTTCTAACTTTGAAAGCAAATGAATTATGAAGCCATGAAAGAGAAATCCCAAGATAATTAAAAAAGACAAAGCAAAGAGCAGTCTCTCTCTCTCTCTCTCTCTCTCTCTCTGTGTGGAAATGAAAACCACCAACAGCACCGCCACCACCACCGCCAACACAAACACAAAACTCATCCTCCTCCACCCCCAAGCAATCCACAAACCCACCACAAGCGGCGGAAGCCACCGCCTGTGGCTCCTCTTCTTCTTCACCTTCTTTACCCTCGCATTCACCCTCACTCTCATCAGCACCACCATCCCCCAAACCCTCCCCACCTCCTCCCTCACGGCCACCTCCGTACTCCCCCTCCCGCCCGCCGTCCTCGACGCACTTCTTCACTACGCCATTTCATCTTCAAACACCTCGTCAGCACCCCACATGTCCCCGCCGGAACTTACCTCCATATCCTCCGCCCTCACCCGCCTCTGCGCACCTAACTGCAATTTCCTCGTTTTCGGCCTCACCCACGAGTCCCTCTTCTACCACACGCTCAACCTCAACGGCCGCACGGCTTTCGTCGATGAGAGCGAGTTCCTCGTCTCCCGATTCGAGCAGGCCCACTCCCACCACAGCCTCGAGGCGTACGACGTGTCGTACGTGACCCAAGTCAAGGACCACAAACAATTGCTGTCAACGACCAAATCCCAGGTCAAAAACGAGTGCCGGCCGGTCCAGAACTTGTTGTTCTCGGACTGCAAGATCGGGATCAACGACTTGCCGAACCACATATATCAAGTCCCTTGGGATGTGATTCTGGTCGACGGCCCACGTGGGTATTCTCCGTCATCTCCGGGGCGGATGTCGGCTATTTTCACCGCCGGAGTTTTGGCCCGGAGCAAGAGGGGCGGTAGGGATAAAACTCATGTTTTTGTTCATGATTTTTCGAGGGAGGTTGAGAGGATTTTCAGCGACGAGTTTCTTTGCCGGGAGAACTTGGTGGAGGCTGTGGGTAGTTTGGGGCATTTTGTGGTGGAGAAAATGGAGGATCATAGCTTTGAGTTTTGCAGAAATTCACCATCATCTTCAAAAGAGGACGAAGATGATTAATTGAGCTGGGTTTTGTAAATTATTTATTTTTTGTTAATTATTTAAATAATTTTTCTTGATCTTCGTCTTTTTTTCTTTTTAATTTAAACAACAGACGTAATAAGATCATCAAAGTAATGATGAAAGGGTATGTGGAAAGTTTGGGGGGTTATGCGTTCAATTTGGTTTTGCCCTGTTTGGTTACTGAGAAAATAGAAGATCATCAAAGTAATGATGATAGGGTATGTGGAAAGTTTGGGGGGTTATGTGTTCAATTTGGTTTTGCACTGTTTGGTTACTGAGAAAATAGAAGGGGTTGGAAAAAGAATAGAAAATTTGGATTTTTCCCTTATATATTTGAATCCTTAAATGCTCAAATAGTAGAAATCATTGAAAAATAGCAGACGTTAAACGCTCCAATCCCACCACCCCCAAAAAGATGAACAACAAAATTCGAAATTAAAATTATGCATCCGTTTCCTCAATAAACTTTTTGGCAAGTTCTCCCTCGATAGAATAATTATAATTATGATTATCTAAATTATGAAAAAGAAAATTCAAAATTGAGTGTACAGCATTCAACATAACTTTTGTAAAGTTCTCCCTCGATAGAATAATTATATTTATGATTATATATTCTAAATTATGAAGAAGAAAATTCCAAATTGAGTACAAAATTCAGCATAATTTTTGTAAATTATGTCGAACAACACAAATATAGTAAGCCTTTCTTAGTAGTTATGTGACGAGAAAAACTGAGAGAAATAAATAGACTAAGAGGTTGTTTTCATTAGGGTCGTGTATCTAAATACTCATTTTTATTTCTCAAATATGTTTCATGATTTTCAAAGTCGGAACAAATAAATTAAAAAGATTGATGACAAAAAATTATCACGAGTATAGGAGATCAAAATGAATATGAGAACAACATTATTCTTTTTATTATTATTATTATTATTATTTTCTATAGCATTATTGTGTCTTTCATGTAAAATCACAAGGAAAACGAGAAAGAAAGAAAAAAAGAAAGAAAGAATAAAGAACGTGTCGGTGACCATACGACTTGCACTAGTCGTATTTATAGCAGCTCCAATTTTTTTTTGGAAAAAATAGCAGTCCCATCCCCTCTCTCTTTTGTATTTTAAGATTATATATTGTATCTAGTAGAGGCCCACGTGTTTACTTATTTATGAATAATCTAAAACTATTTTAATGAAATTTTCTTTATCTATCAAAAGAGGATGAAAAAAAATCTTTGTCTACTATTATAATAAAAAAGTTAAGAATAGAAGTGTAATTTTACAAAACAAAATTTTCCTATTTTTTTTTTTTAAACCTCAACTACATTTAAGTTTATCATCTCTAATTTAAAAAAAAAAATAACAGTCTATCTTCCTCTCTCATCACTCTCACGTTCTCTCTCACTCTATTCATCTCTCCTTCAATTTTAACAACTAAAGCAAAAAAATTCACACTTTGTGTGTGGGCATGTACTAGTGTATTTTAACTAAATAAAATTAACAATAAAATCGTTTAAATTATTAATCTTTATTTGAGAATTAATTATACAAAAAAAAACATTTAAAAATAGAGATAGTTAATTTTTTGAGACCATCACCAACTCTTGGATTAAAACCTAATATTTTTATCCCAAAAAATTTAGGTTTTAACTCAGAAACAGCTTTTCTGCTTCAACTCTTGTGAATTAAAATTTTAGCCCAGATTTTTAAGGAATCAATTTAGCCTAATTTTTTTTTCGCAAAGTAACTTTTTTTAAAGAAAAATTATGTAGACTATCATAATTTAATTTTATGAACATTTAAGCTAAACTTATTTAGATTCCGACAAATATTGAAAAATCACTAACTGACACCATGAAACTTGTGAAACACTATGAAAGAATATGAAAGACATAAAAGAACTTTGTTTTAATTACTTTAGTCGTTCGATTTAAATTTGGACCGATATATCCTTTTTTTTAACCATTAGATTTGATCATATTAGATCTGAGCCGTTGTGACACACTCCGACCGAGATCGGAGCGTGCTGGCCGTCACACGAAGGTGACGTAGCCATGTGCACGTGCGGAAGCCAATAAAGTAATAATATAAAAGTACGAATAATTAAAAACTAGCATACAAAGTACTAAACAAGTGCTAGCGTAAGTGAAAGATAATTTCAGAGCAGGTCTACAGCAGTCCAAAAGAAAGTTGCGACATAAGTACACCCAAAGGTGACCCTATGCTGGTGAGTATCTGTCAGAAAGCCGGGAGAATCCTCTGGGAATACCACCGAAACTGCTAATCGACTAGAACCTGGAGGGGCGCAAAACAAAAGCGTGAGTGGGCAAAAACAAAGCACTTTGAAAACCATTTAGCAAAATACATTCTAACCCCTCGCCGTAAAACCTGTATACTTCCTAGAAAATAAACATATATACGTATGTATAAATATGCCAAACATGCTCAAGGGTATGCCAATCATGCTCAAGATATGCCATGTCGGAAATCTCATAATACAATGCAAGTGCTCAGGTATAAAGTATGTCAATAACATGTAATCTGGCAGCCGGAGTCACCTAACGTGACCTGTACGGCTTCATATAGAGCTCAAATCTCAAACTCAACAACTGAACCTGCCCACGAGTCGGAACCACCTAAAGTGGTCTGTACGACAGGCCTGGGTGTAACATATATATACGCTCTAGTGCTACGATCACGTGAAGACTGTGCGAATAATCGCGGGTCACCTACGAGTCGGAACCACCTAAAGTGGTCTGTATGACAAGACTGTGCACCTAACTTGGATCCAAGCTGAACGTGTGGTGCGGGAGGTAAACATCACGTGAAGGACTGTGCCCTACTCAGGGCGGGAGCACTAACACCGGGGGTGCAGGTTATGAGCTCTCTAAGCATCTCAAACTACCGCTGAATGTAAACATGAATAACACTTACCTGGCACTTACCTGTGCGTCCACAGCACCCAATATGCATATGTATATGCATGCCACTACTAATGCACGCAACGATGCATAAACGATGATAATAAAGTGCATGGCATAGCATAAATAACCCTTTTTAAACAATTTATGGGAATATAAATGTATATAGGTATATACGGAAAACAAAAGCCCACTCAGTGGTATGTGGAAGGGTCGTAGCCCCCCTGCCTCGAGTGCGAACGCTCGTCCTCGGGGTATGTGTCACCTATATGCGAAATAACTATAAAAACGTTAACTTTAATGCACATAACCAACTTCTCGTAATAACTTCTCATACATTGCTCAAAATGGACAAATGAATATACCAACGTGCTCTACACAACCTCAGGATCACAACCATAATTTTAGAAAAATTTTCCTCCGCCGCACGCGCCCCCATGCGCCGGCCAAGGCACGGCCACACGCGCCGGCCACGCGCAGGCACGTGCGGCGCACACTGACGCCGTGAGGAATATTCCGTCAGTTTTGACAGATTCCGTCAACGGCGTCAGGAATATTCCGTCAACTCTGACGGAATATTCCGTCACCTTCTCCGTTCAATCTCCGGCGCCGTCGCCGGCGTCGGAAAACTGGGAAACCTGCAACTCGAGTTTTCTCACTCGTTTCTCAACCGTTTTTCATGATTTTAACGCCAAAATGAAGCCCTAAACTAGTAGAACACGTCCCAACAAGTTTTAAGGGTTCAAACTTACGCGATCTTACCTGTGCAAACAACCAAAACCGGCCAACTTCGAGCAAGACGATCCCGACGTCCAAATTCGTCCAACGAAGCACTCCGAGGCTCCTTGGGACACCACCAAGCTACCTACGAGCTTAGAAATCCCAAAAACTCAATGAATAAACTTTGCATGAATAGTACTCAAATCCGCCATTGTCGAATCGACGTGAAAACGAAGGATTTCTCACCTAAAAATGGTATGGCTGTGCTTGCCTCAACCTCATGAGTTCAATGGTGTAGTTGGTTCCCTCGATCTGTGATGATTTGGTGGGTTGTGTGTGTGTCCGTACGTACACAGTGGGAAGATAAAGGAATGGAGGTCGGGGGGGGGGAGAGAGAGACAGGGAAAGGGCAGAGAGACAGTGTCTGTGAGTGTGTGTGTGTGTGGTCCAACACCTGCCACACCAAACAAAACAACCAAAAACGTGACGAAAACGCACTAGGGGCAAAATTGTAATTTCACACGTACGTTTCGATATTTCCGGGACGGGATGTTACAACCTTCCCACCTTAATAGAATTTCGTCCCGAAATTCAAAACAACCAAGTAACCCCTAGTGGTCAAAGAACAATCGAGGGTACAAATCCCTCATCCGATCTTCTGTCTCCCACGTAGCTTCATCGACTGAATGATTTCTCCACAAAACTTTCACTAAATTCACCGTCTTGTTTCTCAGAACCTTCTCTTTCCAATCGATGATCGTCACCGGTTCCTCGTCATACGTCAAATCTGGATTAATCTCTAACGGTTGAGGAAGTATCACGTGAGCTGGATCAGCAACATAATGTCGGAGCAAAGACACGTGGAAAACATTATGCACTCTAGCCAACTTCGGAGGCAACTCCAACCTGTAAGCTACCTCACTAACTCGTTCTGTGACCATGTATGGTCCGATGTACCTGGGGCTCAACTTCCCCTTCTTTCCGAATCGCACAACACCTCTCCACGGTGAAAGCTTCAAAAATACCCAATCTCCGACCTCATACACTCTGTCCGTAGCATGCCGATCCGCTAGACTCTTTTGCCTGTCTTGAGCTGCTTTCAGGTTAGACTTAATTACCTGAACATTCTGAGTAGTCTCCTCGACAATCTCCGGACCCACTAAAACTCTCTCACCAACCTCCGACCAACACAACGGTGTGCGACAAGCTCTGCCATACAAGGCCTCAAATGGCGCCATGCCAATGCTCGAATGAAAACTGTTGTTGTAAGCGAATTCCATCAAATCTAACCGCTGGTGCCAAGCATCACCAAACTGCAACACCGAAGCTCGCAGCATATCCTCCAAAGTCTGAATAGTTCTCTCTGACTGTCCGTCTGTCTGTGGATGATACGCCGTACTGTAAAGCAATCTCATGCCCAAAGC